ATCTATAATCTCGAATCTCTGTCCAATCTTGAAGATGGTGTTGAAGATCTATAATCTTGAAGATGATGTTGAAGATCTATAACTTATAAAGACTTGTATCTATAAAGATTTAGATCAGAATTTGTACAATATCGAAAGTTGAAGAAAACGATATATAGGGAATGCACAATTAGAGAGAGACTGTAAGTAGAATTTGAACAACCAAACAGCTTCAAACCACAAAACATACCAAAATACAAATGTAAAGTGGTGCATGGATTGCATAATGTGGTTGCAAACCGTACAACTCCCGCCTTTAAGTTACAGTTGAGATAAATCATACTACTACGACTCCCGCCTTTAAGCTACAGTCGAGATAAATTGTAATTCTATGACGCCTGCCTTTAAGCTACAGTCGAGATAAATCATAGTACTACGACTCCCACTTTTAATGTGTTAAATACAGACAGTGAGCATTCATTTATTTTTTTTTAATACTAAATGGTGTTAAAATGCAACATCAACATGAAAGGGGTTAGCCCTGCAATCTTAAAAATAATAAATAATAATAATAATAATAAATAAAAATATAATAAAGGACTGTTCATTCCAAAACGGATTGTAAAATGGTTTGTTTTCATGACGTCTATACATACGTATGTATCTCGCATAACTCAAAAGTGATTAGCCATACAACATTGAAATTTTGTATATGGGCTGCTACAACATGCAGTTCTGCACCTCTCTATTTTACTGCAACCGGCAGTACTAAAAGTTTTATATACCCGGCCTTTATTGGTTTAAAAGTCCTTACCTTTATTTTCGCAATCGTTATCTGTAGACATCCATTTACAGAAGGTTTAAAATTATTGGTAAAGCCATAAAGTAAGAAATTTAGAACTAATTTTTCACAAAGACCAAAAATTGAAATTCATAATTAACACATTTCAAATAATCCTATAAATGCAAAAAATAATTTAAAAAATGTTAAAAACCAAAACTTTTTCAAATGCGCAATACCCCAATTAAAAAAAACAAAGCGAACATAATAGAATAGGAATTCAATGAACTTCAACGCACTTTGTCAGGAGGAGGAACACTGAAAGCAATTGAAAATCTCTTTGCTTTTCTGTATCCAGAATTAGCTAATGAACTATTTCAATAGATTTTAATTATAATAGTTCACCCGAAAATTCTGGCCTCTCCCCAAAACAAGGGAAAAACAAAGTAAATTCTAGTTAGAATCTTGTACTTAAGAGAATTCTATTTAAAAAATGAAAATGTAAGTAAAATAATAAAATACTTCAATGAAAAATTCAAATCAAAATTTTACATTTAAACAAACAGCATATAATCCAAAGAATTTAAAATGTAAGTGAAATAATAAAACTTTAGTGAAAATTTAATGATATGATAAAAATAATTTCATGATAAAAATTTAGTGAAAATGTTGATTTGAATTTTTCACTAAAGTATTTTACTATTTCACTTATGCTTTCATTCTTTAACTAAAATTCTCTTTATTTTTAAGTACAAGATTGTAATTAGAATTTACTTTTTTTGTTTGTTTTTTTTTTTGGTTTTTTTTTTTTTTTTTTTTTTTTTTTTTTCCCTATGCTTTGGGGAGAGGCCAGAATTTTCAGGTAAACTATTATAATTAAAATACATTGAAATGGTTCTCTCTGCCTAATTCTGGATACAGAAGAGCAAGGATTTTGTGGAAGAGAGATTTCAATGTTTCTCTTGACGAAGCGATTGAATTCCTTTTATATTATGAATTATATTCGTTTATTATATTATGTTTGTTTTTCTTTAATTTTTTTGAATTGGGGTATTGCTTGTTTGAAAAGCTTTGGTTTTTATCATTTTTTAAATTATTTTTTGCATTTATAGGATTATTTGAAATGTGTTAATTATGAATTTCAATTTTTGGTCTTTGTGAAAAATTAGTTCTAAATTTCTTACTTTATGTCTTTACCAATAATTTTAATCCTTCTGTAAATGGATGTCTACAGATAACGATTGCGAAAATAAAGGTAAGGACTTTTAAACCAATAAAGGCCGGGTATATAAAACTTTTAGTACTGCCGGTTGCAGTAAATTAGAGAGGTGCAGAACTGCATGTTATAGCAGCCCATATACAAAATTTCAATGTTATATTTTATACTTTTGAGTTATGCGAGATACATACGTATGTACAGACGTCAAGAAAACAAACCATTTTACAATCCGTTTCGGAATGAACAGTCCTTTATTTTATTTTTATTTATTTATTTATTTTTAAGATTGCAGGCTAACCCCTTTTATGTTGATGTTGCATTTTAACACCATTTAGTATTAAAAAAAAAGAAATGAATGCTCACTGTCTGTATTTAACACATTAAAGGTGGGAGTCGTATTATGATTTATCTCGACTGTAGCTTAAAGGCAGATTATATTAAATATAGTTATATTAAATGATTAGCCTAGATGACTGTCCAAAGGGGCTTTGTCCTTTTCGATTTTGCATCGGAATCTGATAAACTGTGTATCACTTTTTATATCGTTGCCAACAAATACTATCGCCCTATATTATATTTGAAGAAATAAAATAATGAAGAATGTGTGGTTAGAGTAGACTGAAGGGTACCACTTGTATTATCGTGAAGTTGTTGTTTCATTTATCGCCAAGTTGTTGTTTCGTTTATTGCCAAGTTGTTTAATTTATGGTAATCTGAGTGGTTGAATGTTATGCAAACCTTATTATGACGTAACCGGTTGCATGATTGCGGTAAATTTTGAATTATGGGATGTTTTGTAATCGGAATCTAATAAACTGTGTATCGCTTTTTAAATCGTTGCCAACAAATACTATCGCCCTGTATTATATTTGAAGAAATAAAATAATGAAGAATCTGTGGTTAGAGTAGACTGAAGGGTACCACTTGTATTATCGTGAAGTTGTTGTTTCATTTATCGCCAAGTTGTTGTTTCGTTTATTGTAAAGTTGTTTAATTTATGGTAACCTGAGTGGTTGAATGTTATGCAAACCTTATTATGACGTAATCGGTTGCATGATTGCGGTAAATTTTGAATTATGGGATGTTTTGTAAGGGCTCGTGGTGTGTGCTGGTTAGGAAGTACATTGCTAGTTTTGTTGTTTAGATGGTAGAATGGCTGAATGTAGTAAGATTAAATTGAAGTTTCTATAAGATTTGGAACGAAAGGGGAAAAGGCATTAATTGATTGGTGTGTAAATGAAGGTTTACTTAGTAACCATTGTACGTGTCCTGTATGTAGGAAGAAAATGCATCTAAACGAACGTAAAGATCGTTTAGATGGCTTTGAATGAGTTTGTTGGAAGAAAGGTTCAGGTGGTCACTATGTCAAGCGTTCAATAACAGGAGCTCATATTAACAATATTGAAGGTATGTGGAGTATGGTAAAAAGATTTTCGCAAGATGTGTCATCGACAGTCCGAAACTATAGAGGATATTTTTTACTCTTATTTTTGTGAATTTATCTAGTGACGCCGATATACAGATTCGAGTTCACATAATTTTAGGACGTTTTTGGATGCTGTTAAGGAATTTTTGTGTGCCACAGACTGAAGACGAAGACATTTCTAAATAAGGAAAGTGGATATTTGCTTTGTGTACTGCTTAGACGCATAAGAGGTTTTTCTTTTTTATGTTATTTTATTGTTTAGTTTAATATGTAGTTTATTGAGATTATGTATTTTTTGTTTGCCCTTACTGAAGAATTGGGTGCTCCTTTGACTTTTTAAGTGATAATAAGTCGACGTGTACATGGATAAAGTCAAGGGAGTGCACAATGACTAGTCTGTGCAGTTGTATGATTTTTTTTAAGTGAAAATAGGTTAATGTGTACATGGATCCGAAGTTTGTGCAATTCTTGTTATTTTGTCTTTGTGTAGCAACGATTTTTGGCGCTAAAATCATCGCTACACAAATCCAAGATAACAAGTCAAAGAATTGCACAAACTCTGTATCCATGTACCGCCAAAAATCGCCAATGGGTACCCGTAAATATACTTTTATCAAATCTGCATAAATGTATGTTTCTCGCATTGTGATAAAAAAACAGTACATAGAGTCACCCAATTTTGAATGACATAATCCTACTGTAAATATGGGCATCTGAAAGCCCAAATCTAAAATTTGGAATTTGTTTTATTATTAATTTCATATTTTGTAAAACTTATATTTCTTGTAAAACTTATTTATATTTAAAAAACGAATTTTTTATTAAAACACTGAATAATTTAAAAGCGAGCAATGGCAACGTTTCCAAATCAAATCAAATTTTGTCCCCCTACAAAACACTTCTTAGGAAGTAATTTAAATTCTAAAACCTTTCAGATTTTTTTTTCGCTGCAAAATGACAAATAAGGCATTTATTAAAAAGAAAAAAGGTTTAAAAGATTTTGTGGTAAAATTCCAGTACGGCCTTGGCACAATTTTGAAAATTGTGAGCAACCATCATAATGTCATGTGTACTGACTGCACATGGAGGTTAGAATAGATTAGTACATGGAGGCTATCTAAGCACCGTGGTACCCTATACTAGGATTAAAAAGATTTTGTTTTACACGAGAATGTGAAGATATTTTCTTCAGTTCAACATGCACTGCACATACGAGTTTCTAGATTCTCAAGTTTACTGGAAACCAAAGTTGCTTGAAACTTGCTTTGCCATCCTAAAAGACCATCTGAGTGGAGCTGAGAAAATTGCGTCTACGCCAGCTGCCTGAAAGACGCTCATGGGATACATAATTACCCAAGCAAGTGATCACTTCCAATGTCGGCACAAAACTCGCTTTTAGGGCGGGGATCACCACATGAAATTCAGACTTTTCCAAATTTTGACTAAAATACTTAAATTCCCTGACTATTTTGGTCAATTTTCGAATGCTCTGACTTTTCCTGGTTTTCCAGGCAGCACTGTTTTAAAGTTTTCAGCACAAAATGCCAGAACGAAATTAATAGCCATTCTGGCTGAAAATACAGTACAATCCTTACCCATAGCTATTGCAGTTTTTCCTGTGCCTGGTTGACCAGCTATCAGAACTGCTCTTCCAGCAATTTTCCCCTCTTTGATCATTTCAAGTATTACTCCAGCAGCTCTACGAGCAGCCAACTGGCCAACCATTCCCTGTGAAACCTGCAAAAGAATCAGGATGTCTAATTAATACAAAATGAATGATAAAATAAAGCTACATTATTTTATAAAATAGCATAACTATAATGTTTCTTTTCTCAAATAAAAAATTAAATATTTCAAAGCAGTTTCATAAAAGGGAAAAAATGACTTGAGATAAAATTTTGAAGAATGCTACCAAAAATGGCATCTCTTCATCATACCAAAAATGTAAATAAAAAAATCATACCAAAAATATCAAACTCTTCTGTTTCCACAAAACAAAAAAGCTACGATCTTTATTCCTGCTTTCTTTAAAATCAATACAGTGCATTTTTACAGAATATTAACTTAAAAGTAATTAAATTCTGGTGATTGCCAGATTGCCACAATCAAAATGCATGCTACTTTGAATTAATACTAATTTCTAATATCATAGATAGAACCAATCGCTAAACTATCATCAAATAATTATTTTATGCATATTCTGTGAACCACCAAATTTCTTACATACAGAATGTTGTTCATCTAAAAATAATAGAAAGCAAACAGCATAATTCTTAATAAATAATTTGAAGTGCAATTTCTCCAGTAATAAAAATTATTAGGCTCAAAATATCAAAAGTCCTAACAGTTTTGACGCTCGGCAAAATATCTTTTGTTCGATTTTTGCAACAGAAATATATAAGTAATAGTATAATAAAACAACATCAATAAAATTTTTTTTTAAATTATATTTATATCTTTAATATTTCTGATACACGGTCTCGCACACTGGAGATAAAAATGTTTTCTCTCCCATACAGTGTTCTCATGGCTCGCTTTGAAATCGTTGAGTTTCTGAATCAAAAACTCATAAATGCTTTACAAAATATGCAATAGATAATAAAACAAATTCCATATTTGAACTTCCAGATGCCCATTTCGGGTGGAGATGTATGTTATTCAAAATTTGATGGCTCTAGGTAACGTTGTTTCATCACAATGCGAGAAACATACATACATTTTATGCAGATTCTTCATGATTTAATTTTTTTAAATATAATGCAGGGCAATAATATTTGGTGACAACAATTTAAAAAGTGATTCAGACTTTTAAAGTTTTCAACACAAAATGCCAAAACAAAATTAGTAGCCCATCTGGACTAAAAATTCAGGTTAAGCATATCACTCAAGCATGTTCTCATGAAAGCTCTTTGTTAGCCGTTGTCCACTCTACATCTTCCAATCAGGTTTCGTGCTTACAATATGATAATATCAATCTCAGTGCAAGAAAATATAAGGACATTCATGCATAAATAGAAAGAGAACACAAAAATGTGACAATCAAAATCGCAATAACAACCGTGTATTTTGTGTACATATATTAAGCACATTCATGCATTTTTACAATGAAGATTGGTCTTTCTAAGTATGAGATAGGTGGTGAACCATGATATATAACTGCACGCTTTTAAGAAATTTTATGATTATATTATACTATTGTGATAAGCAACTATGTTAAAAACTGAACCTAAAAACTTACCATAGAATTATCATGTGCAAAATGCATGCTACATTTAGTTACTTGTGGCAGCAGTTTTGGCTAACTTCAGAACTTTCATAACATGAGCAGTGAAAGAGAAAGAAATGCCCCTTTGAACAGATGATGGATAAATATGTACTTAAAACTAATTTTGAAATTTGTTATTAATGTTATATTTAATATATTTAGTGTTTCATTAAGATGTGGTCTCTTTAATTGTGGATTACTTGTTTGGCTTTTCAGTTCAACATACAAGGCAAGCAGACACTCCAACAAGAAAAGGCAGGCTCAATTTTGATATTTCTATTAAAATAAAAAGACATAGCTTTGAAGAAATAAAAAAATAATCATTTTTAACATTTAAAAAAATTCCAAACTGGCTTAAATTTACTTTATAATGCATGATTTTGGCTACTGAACAGCTTATAATATGATTTTGATATAAAATATATTAATATTGAATTAAATATTTTAAACTTTATATTCTTTGGATGATTTTAATTTGAAAATTTCTAATACTTCTATACAGAGAAAATCTTCACTAGAGAATAGATTTTATTTATGAAAGTACTTTTGAATGTCATAAATATAATTAATAACTAATATAATATTTTTTATGTGGATAAAACTTAGCAGTGTACTATATTAAAAAAATTAACAATTAAAAATGTACAATGTAAAACAAAATTAAATACAAATATTAGCTTATTAAATACTGACTGAATCTTCATAAAAAGCTTTACAAATGCAGATGATGAAGTAGATGAAGACAAATCAGATCAAATAAAATTTAATAAAAAAATTATGCCGAAAAGTGTAAGGGATAAAGATATTTGCCTAATTTAATTAATTCATTAAATTTCATTTATTGCTGTGAAAGATGCTTCTTATAAACTATAAATAAAAAACAAATTTTAAAAAGTAGTTTTAGACTCCTGTCCAACAAATCAATCTCTGTAAAATTGACAGAGTTGGCAGCTATGTACAGTCAATCAACGGAAGGGGAAACAGTTATATATTTCCCACTCAGCAAATTCATTAAACCTGTGTTTTTCTTGTCTCGAAAGCTCAACTTAGTATATACATGTATATAGATACAAATTTTGTATTATGTAAATAATTTTAGTGAAATAGTAGTGCCTTTTGTATAATGTAACCTATAATGCATGAAAAAGACAAGCACTGCCAGAAAAATAAGATTACAAGGGCAGCCTATTTAACATTGAGGTAAATATCCACCTTGTTAAATTGGCAAAATATCACCACAGTGGTGATGGTTTTGGCAACTAATTTTCGTCACCCAACTTTGCGAAAAATCGGCGACATTTTGGTTTGGTCCCTGTATATCTGTAAGTGGCACCGTAACTGAAGAATTGTAATAGATCCTTATATGTAACTGTAGTCAGCCCATATATGTAACTTTAACAGTACATGCTTTTCAGTAATTTTAAGAAAGGGAAGGTACTAGAGACTTCTCTGTGGCCAATGGAAAACTATGTAAGACCAAACAGAGCAGCAGTTCTCAATTTTTAGTTCAGAGCTGATTCGGAATATTGAGAGATTTTCGTGCAAGCTTCCCCTTTTAAATGCACTTTGCACTGCATTGTGTTTAACGTCATTAATAGTTTGAAGTGTAACTACTGACTGTGCTCTGTGATACTGAGAGAAACTGTACAAGTATTTCTTTTGGTAAAATAAATTTTATTCAGTTCTGAATGCATTCAATCTATCACAAACCCATACGTAAGCAACCATTTTTGGCATGAGTGGGATTGAATGCCAGTGACAAGTCTGATGGAGGAACAACTAAGACAGCTCATGGCAGCCTATCCTGTATTTAAAGAAGAGATGGGATCGGGCCAAGAAAAGATGGAAGGGGCAGTCAAGTCTGTTAAGGAAGCAATGAAAGCAGGTAACAAAAGATTGAAGGTGTCGTCAAGTCAGTTCCAGAAAAGACTATAGCAGGTCAAGAGGAAATGGAAAAAAGAAATTACTGCAATAACAGAAAACAAATCTTAAACTATGGACAGCAGAATAGAAATGGCTGAAAACAAAGTTTAAGAAACTGAAGAAAGACCTTTTGCTGCAGAATAACGAATTGGGGAAAGACTTCCTATTGTCGAACAACAAATCGAAAAAGAGTTTGTACCGTCAAACAACAAAATGAAGAAAGTTTACACTGAACAACAAATCAATTATAGAAATATGTCAAAAAAGAAGTTGACGGATTAAAGAAATCCATAATTACAGCAAGAAGCAATTCCAATATTTTTAAATTTCTAACCATGTCTTTTCATTCTCTCTAAAGCTATCCACATAAGACAGAAAAAATGCCTGGTAAGACTCAATTTTCTGTAGTGGTGGATTCAAATGGATGCGGTTTGTAAGCTAAGGCCTGCCACCTTCCTGCTTCACTGAGAGCGTACACAAGGATATCCTCCAGTCTGACCAAAAACCAGAAGCTAGACCTTAAAGCACTATCTGGCACATTGGATCTGTGCTTCAGCAGGAGGTATTTAAAAGACTTGATAAGACTTCAGTTGAAATCTTATCAACGAAAGCCAATGGAACCACTGCAGGAACTTGCTATGGAAACTAAAAGCCTGTTTCATCTTGCTTCATCGCATTATGACATCCGGAATCCTGAGATACAGAAAGCCCTGCAAATGGCAAATGTCGAGCACCTAGAAAGCACTTTAGTATATGCTATAAAATTCAAGGCAACCTAGCAGGAAACAGGCACAGACGGCCACCCAACCACAGCTGCAAGTATTGTTGATGAATGACAGCCAACATATTGAACATTTATTATAAAGAACATGCTAAAAATCAATTGTTATGCTGATATTTGCATTTGTTGTCATATGAAGCACCATCTGTGGGACACTTTTGGCAGGAGCTTTCGATAAAACCCCCATGTGATTTCAAGCATGTGTGTCAAATTTTACCTCTCTAACTACATTATTCTATAAATTATTGAATTTTCAATTGTTAACAGACTTTGGGGTCACTTGGTATATATTCTTTTTACTGCATTGTTTTATTAGTTTTATACTTGTGGCCACATTTTTGTTTTCTACTTGTGTGTTTGATTCTAATATGGAATTGTTGATTTGAGAATGGCAATATTCAGAATGTAAAAACATCTTAAGTGAAATGTGCGATATGTCTTTCATTTGACAGATCTTTCCTGAAAGCTCATGTCTTACATAAATACAAAGAGGGAGAACACTTTTTGTTGCAGCTGTTTTATTCATTTAACTGATAGATTTAGTTGAATTATGAAGATACTCTACAAGTTATTTTGGCATTTCCAGATATTTCTCTTCAACCGTTAAGGAGGTATTGTTTATATCTCCATTTTCAGCTTAATCTGTTGAAGTTAATTACTGTGCTATTTATAACTGGTTTTTATAATAAATTGCTAATTTCTTCCTGTGCATAAAGAGCAATCTTTTAGATAGGTATAAGCAAACTGATAGCCCGCATGAATATTTTGACACATTTTTTCACTCTGGCCAAGCACTTGGCAAACTTCTCAGTTTATGTTATTATTTTCACTTTCTCTTTCATTCTGCAAATGACAAAAAAAAAAAAAAAAAAAAAAAAAAAAAAAGTTTCCTTTTCCTTAAAAATATTTTTGCTTTATATTTTACTTTTTAATTATAACTGTTAATTTTAGATAATATTTTAAAATTTAACTTGCATGGATGAAATATATTATCCTAAATAATTATTAAAATTTATATTTATTCACTGACCACATACTTTAAATATTTTCTTCATAGAAATGTTTTGAGAATTTGATTTTATTTATTAAAATTGAATTTCTTACAAAAAATATGTTGTGACCCAGTATAAGCCCAAATGCACTTGAAAACTGCATACAATGAAAGAGAAAAAAACAGTAAAGCATGGTTAATATATTTTTTATTGGACTACTCAGAAAAAATATGCAAATGAAAAAGGCCACAAAATCGGCATTATATTTTACAATAAAGTGCATTTACAGTATTTATTGTAAAATAAGTGCGAGATAAAAAATCGGCTGGACTTTGCCAATTCTGGGTTTTAGATCATCAATTTAAAGCCAGTGACATGCAATATAGGAATTAAAAAATTAAGTAGTTGTTTATGAAAAAACGGAATTTTTGATGACCTAAAGGGAATCAGAATTTACAAACAAAAAAACAAAAAAAAAAAAAAAAAAACTCAATATTTATTAGTTTGTTTTATTAAATACTTCTTTCAATGCAAGCTGTTTCATTGATTTAAACTAACACTTTTACTTTAATTTTACAGTTAAGCATAATTTCTTGCTTAGTTAAAGTTCCATTCTTCAAGATCTGTAATTGCTGCGTCTGTTAATTATAATATAATAACTATAATTATTACTAGCTGTCCATCAAAGTCTTTTCAATCTCAACAATCTCTCTCACTCTCTCTCTCTTTATAATTACTCTCAGAGCCATACAAGTCAGTGATAATTACCATAGCTGATATGCACTCTTTGTATCTACAAGGGTATTATTGAATCTTTGTAAAGATGTAATTTAGTCCAAGGCATTTTGCAGTTTAATTACTGTGAGATAATGCAAGAATAAAAGCAGCTTGATCAATTCATCAAGAATTTTTACAGCTGGCATGAGAAATTTTATCTCAAGACAGTTATAAAAAATGCTGCATGACCTAGATCTTACACTAAATGATCTTTACCAGTCACTAAGAGGAACCCTCAAAGGACAGATTTTTGTCATTGAAGCCAAGCTGGAAGGTGGTTGTCAAAGTCACTTCTACGAAGGTTTGATTCTGAAGGGATGGTACCTAAAATCTGCCTTGGCATTTGTAGAACATCATCAATGCATATTAACTGACTTTTGCTTTTTCACTTTCGTCATTACATCAATTTTGACTTTGCAAAATATAAAGTTTACAAGTTTTAAAGGTGGTCAGAATATCCGAACAATCTAATATAAAATGATTTTTAAAATTTACTGCATTATAATATTAAAGACTTACAGCACGCGGATCCAGAGTATCATCTAACCCAAGTCCACGTATATGGGAATGAGCACCAATGCGTTCAATTCGAGTAATATCTCGAACTTCTTGAACTTTAGCCGCTGTCTCCTAAAATGATATTTAGAAATATATAGTGATACAACTATTTTTTAAAAAGCAGATAAAAATTTATTATTGCACAAAACTTTTTGAAATCGCAAAACTATTGTACAAATCCCTTTCAAATCTGGTTTGGTAACTTGGGAGAAAATTTCACTTAAAATTGGAAGAATGTATTGCTACATGATATGTGTACTCGATAATATTCTTCCACTAAAAGAAATTCTATACAAAAACTCTTAAAACAGACAAGCAGAACTGAAGTACCAGAATTGTTTTAATTCAAGATGATAAATTATCTACATCACAAAGAGTTGAAAAAGAACACGTATTAAAGTAAGAAAACACAGTATTTTTTATAATTATCCACACCCTTATGTAAAGTCACAAACTCACGGCAACTTTGTGAGTTGGCAAAAAACGGTTGTTTGACCATCTTTAAAGCTGATATATACTGTTATGTTCATAAATAATACTAAAATGAAGCATTTGTTTATGACCAAAAAGAAATATAAGCTAGGGGGGATTGATTTGCTGAATGCGTTAAAAATAACACACATAAATCTACATGTATTTAAACATGTGGATTGGCTGTTGTTGTGTTTATATATAAAAATATACCATAAGCACGGCAGTTCTATGTAATGTCGAAACCTGGGATATGGATAATCAGAAACAAAAATTTACATTTATTTAACATATATGTGTGTTGGCTATTACTGTATGTATAAAAAAAATATGGTACTGTTCTGTTATCAGGACTGGGTTCAGAAATATAATGCATGTATACATGTATTAAGGTCATACAGATATGAATGACACAAATGCTGCCACAGAGCGGAATAAAATTTATTAACAAAAAACTGATAGTACATCAGTTAAAAATAATCCCTGCCCAAGTCAATACACTTCTGCCATCTGGCTGGGAGGTGCTGAAGGGCTTTGGTAAATCAGTCTGTGGGAGTGTTGGTCAGCACCTACGGACAATTGCATGCAATTTGGTAGAAGATTCAACATGTTGGCCCCTGTGTCTTTCATCTTGTCAAGCAAGCCGTAGTAGGGGGGAGGACAGATAGGGAGAGTAGGGAGGATGTGGCAACACAGTGAAGCCCAATGCCTCCTGAGTGTCGCAGGTGTTCTGGCTGATGTGGGGACGTACTGCAACAGCACATGCCGTGCCTGTTTGCCCAAACGGTGCTGCTGAATGTGCCAATGCAACATTCTGGCAAACTCACAGTGCCAATCGCTGTTGATAGTGCACTTAGAAGTGGGCTTGATGCATGCTTCCACTTCATGGAGCTTTTTTTTTCCGGGAGTGTCGTGGAAAAGCCAAGACTCGTCCCCCATGACCATGCGGGTAAAAAAGTCATCCGGATCAGCTTCGTGTAGTGCAAGAAGTTCTTTGCAGATGTCGACTCGCTTCACCTTTTCTTGTGGTGTGAATGCATAAGACACCCCACTTTGCATGCATATCTGTCATTTACAGATCACCATGCATAATCGCTTGCAATGTTCCTTGTGCAAGCTCCATCTCTTACCGCATCTAGTTGAACATTATGCATCTGTTTGCCATGATCAAATCAGACACAGCTGCACATTTGCTGTTGTATGTGATGTTGCTGGTCGTCCCGCGCTGACACCTTTGGGTGTGGTCTTCATTCCATTGTTGAACTTGCCAACCAATGGGATACAGTACACCTTGAGGATGCTTTATTCCCGCACACGGACACCCTGCGACGATGGATCTCACTACCCCATATCCCTTCCTTCCATAAGAACCATGTTGTCCTTGATAGTCCTCCATCATTGCTGTCCATGCTCTTAATGACAATGGCAAAAGAGACAGGCACTGATTTACACCGATCGCTTGTGGCCAGCATCATCTATGCATTTTGAGTAGCTCACACACCCTTGTGTCTATTTCACTTGTTTTCCCTGTCTCATAGTGTAATAGTTTCGTTGTGAGAGCCATTGTGTCAATCATTTCTGTACGATCCAAGTAAGTACAAATGTATATGTGTTTATATATGCACATACATACAAACACACTTTTTTACATTTCTGAATCTGATCCCGATAACAGAACAGTGCCAAAAACATGCTTTAAATATGGCAGTTCTATGCAATGTTGAAAACGGGAGTGTGGATAATCAGACATTACTGCAAATATTTATAAAATTATTTTAGCAACATACTTTTTTTAAAATATTTATACACTTTGTTTATGCTGATAAAACAGGTAACTCAAAACTAAAAAGGAACATCCATTAAGCTTTACAAAATACCTATTAAGTATCTTTCTTGTAAAAAATTAGAAAATTTCAAATATACAAATTTTTTACACTAAACACAGCAGCAGTTACATCTTTTTATTAATTACAGTAATGCTGAAAATGTTCATAAAAAGTCACCAGTTGGGTATAATTTAAATTACATCAGATGGATTATTGAAGAATTATATGATCCGAGACATAAGAAAATCTGATAAATGCTTTTAAATTCACCCACTTTCTTAAACAATCACAGACTAATTAAACCTGTAAGATAAATTTATGATCTTGTGCTTTGTTAAGTAGTAAAATTCCAAGAACTAGCTATTTATGATGCAACATGACAGATAAACTGAAATTCTTATGTTTTGCACAATGAATATTTGCGAGGTTACACGGATAATAAATTTGTGGCAGCATTATCTAAAAATTATAAAGCTTAGTTACATTTCTAACATAAATACCCAATTTATTTATTCAGATAACTCTGAACTGAACTAACTGTTGACCAATTACCTACAATACCTCCTCCAAAAAAATTATATCCTTCCATTTATATTTTCCTACAAGATGCCAGTGTAACCAGCCTCTTTATTTGATTATTAGGGAAAATTTAATTGAGGAACAATTAATTTCCTTTTCCATAAATAACATTTAATTAACAAGACTAATTTTTTTAATAAGAACATTTTTTTTTCTTTTCATTATTTAGAAGTAAATGCATATTTTCATCATTAATAAATGATCAATTATGATGAATAATCATGTAAAAGTGCTTAACAGTAGATGATTTAATTGTAAGTAATTAGCGTGTAACCCGGTGTCCATGTACACATCTATCCATTTTCACTTAAAAAACATCAGAGAGTTGCACAAATGGGGCATTGCGCACTCTCTTGACTTTGTCCATGAATACATCGATCTATTTTCACTTTAAAAAAATCAGGAGAATGATGACATCATATAATGTTAAAACAAAATTACTCATCACCAAAACCGAACAAAATTTGTAGCCAATTGAAGCTCAATAAACTGCATTTTAAATCACACGATGAAATAGCATAAATAAGGAAATATATATTATCGCATATATGCACTACAAAAAGGAAATATCGCATATTTAGAAATTTCTGCGTCTTCAGTCTGTCCCACACAAAATTCCTTAACAGCATCCACATTATTTCAACTAGAATATGCATACTGCTGTCACCTCATAAATTCACAAAAATAAGAGTCAAAAACATCCTTCGTAGTACTGGACTGTCGATGGCATTTCTTGCATGAACCTTCCTTGGGACAAACCTGTGTCTGAATGATCTTTACGTTTGACCATATGCATTTCCTTCGTACAAACAGAACACCTATAATGACTACTAAGTAAACCTTCATTTAAATACTAGGTCAATTAGTGTTTTTCCCCCTTTCGTTCCAAATCGTACAGAAACTTCATTAATCTCATCACATACAGCCATTTTACGGTGTACAGCACAAAATAAGCAACGTACAGTCAAAAGTCTTTAATCCGGACTCGTCGGGATTTTGACGATTCCGGATTATAGATCATCAGTTTAAATCTGGTAAGATGACATGCAGAAATTATAAAATTAAAAATATGAAACCATAATTTATGAAGTAAAGACCAATTATGATTTAAAGGGTATCAAAATTTATAAAAAAAAAAGCTTTATATTTATTTGTTTACTTTAACTATTTGAGGTGTATTCGTGATATTTATAATGACGAGGAATTTGATTTAAATCATACAAAGATGGAGTACTTCGAGATGAAATACTACATTTAGTAAGGAATTATAAGCCAAATAAAATAAAAACATCTGCCCTGAAGATGAGTATAGTGCTGATAGAGCAAATTCCAGTTCATTGTGCGCCGCAACATTCCCCCCCCCCCCACACACACACCCTGCAGAGCAGCGTGAATTTGATGAACAGATTTCAGAATGGTTAGAGAAACATAGGATATGCCTTTATCCATTTTTTGCAGCAATTCCACTTTTTGTTTTATGGACATCAAAACATGCTTTCGCTTTGTAGATCCTTAGGCAGCTCCAGAATCAGAAATTCTTTTTGACATAATCGAAAGTTCAAGCTTACTTTTATAAAATTGCTCTAACAGTCTGCAAAAAATAATAAGCCAGATCCAATTAGAAGATTAAGGAACAACGCAATCTGCAACATTAACTGAAATAGATAATTAGATCATTTTAGCTTAGCTTATACTGTCCGTTATACATTAAATGCACATGCGTAAACGTATTATGCGCATGCATAAACATATTATGCGCAGAAAGTTTGTAGCTTTGAGGTCCAGATTAGACTTTTGACTGTACTTCCTAACTGATATCTAACACAGAAATAAGCCCTTACAAATATTTTCCCATCAGTCAAATTCATTGCAATCATGCAACCAATCACGTCATAACAGGGTTTCCATAACATTTAACTACTCAGGTTACCATAAATGAACAACAATTTGGCGATAAGTTAAGGGGCATCCTAAAATATAGACTAACCTAAAAATGGTGCCCCCATTACACTATATATATAGCTCCTGATGCCCCCATTACACTATATATATAGCTCCAAGAGCTAGGACACTATATAACACTAGACAACTAACACAAGCTAAGTGTTAATTAGCTGCAAAATTTAACGGTGAAAGAGAGGCAGATTAATTGCAATTTAGAGTTTGCACTGTGAGTGATTTTGAGAATTGACAATA